GCATATAACTTTCCAAGATTGAATCAGGAAGAAGTAGAAAACCTGAACAAACCAATTACAGCCAAGAAATTGAAACTGTAATTAAAGTCACCTCCCAAAAAAGAAAATCCCAGAACTGGATGGTTTTACTAGTAAGTTCTACTGAAACTTCAAAAAGGAATGTATATGTCTCCTTATGAAACTCTTACAAAAAATTGAGGAGGGAATGCTTCCAAACAATTTTAGGAGTCCAGCATTACTCTGATGCCAGATGCAGACAGGACAAGAAAAAAGAAAACTCCAGACCAATATCCTTGATGAACAAAGATGCAAAATCTTCACAAATCAAATTGAACCTTAAAAGAATCATACACTATGACCAAGTGGTGTATACCAGGGATGCAAAGATGGATCAACATGTGCAAAGAAACTAATATAATTCATCATATCAGCTTCTGCTGTGGACGATCTTTTAGAAGTGGGCAGCTGTCTCTTAGGATTCACGCTTTAGATGTGTGTGCCATTCAAAGACAGAAATTGTTTTTTTTTTTTTTATTTCTGTAGTAAGTGTTCAGTAAATAAATGTAAGTGTTCTTAATCCACATAGCACTTATACTTCAATATACCTTCATGAGCAATTCACCATCTTGTGTGTTTGTTCTTTCCTGACCCCCAAATGTTCTCCACACTCTGTACTTAGATTACATTGGTAAAACCATGGTTAAAAAAAAAAAAAAGAGCATTGTGTCCCAGTCTGGAGTGACTTTTTTCTCCCATGGTATACTTGTTAATGTCTTAGTGGCATATTTGATTATCTCAACTAGAAAAGAGGTATTATTTCATTGGAAGGTGCTACTAAATATGGTATTGATATATAAGACAGTCCTTTGCAATAACAAGTATTGGTCAAAATGTCAATAGTTTCTGGGATAAGTAACTTGTACTAAAAGTTCAAGAGCTTTAAGTATTCTAATTGTGGAGTAGTTTGCATTCCATTCTTTGTAAATAAACTGTATGTCTCTGTGAGCGGCATTTGATAATGCTTAACTTGTCTCCTAGTAGAGGGAAAATTTTCATTCTTCTCCATGTATCTGAGAAAGAAAATCACTTTTCTTAAACCCCCAAATTCCAGTAATTTCCATCTATTTCACCTACATAACTCCATAGAATAGTAAAACTAGTATTGTGGACATGTTAATCTATTGTTTTGTGTTTTATATGAAAATAATTAAGTCAGTTTGCTCTGCCACTGGGTGAGTAGAGGAGACCCCAACACTCAGCTTTAGGTTTTAGGGGCAAATTCTAAGCAAAACTCTTACTCAAAGTTACAATGGCATGTTACAGATTACTAAATATTTTCATGATATCTTTACAACAGTATTACATACTAAGTTTTTCTTCAGTAATATTACTTGTGGCTAACCTTGGTGGAATTAGGGATATCATTGAAACCAATAATATTTTCTTCAAAATACAGAAGTGATTTCTTTAAAACTTAAGTGCTTTTTTTGGAGGGATCATTTGTAATTTTGGTTTTTAAATAATTTTGACACCTTGGAGTTTTATTATAAAGCACTAGTATGTACAGTATTTCATTTTATATTTTAACTGCCTTCCCCCAGGTGTCCTACAAATTTCATTCTCTGCTCATTCAGCTACATGGTCAGAATCAATTTCCTCCAGGAGTAATAGAGTTTGAATGAAAATAAAATGAGAACAGTTAGTCGTTCCCTTGAAAGTGGGTGGGTACAATGCCTGGCCTTCATTTCTGAGCTATGGGTGGTGGAATCCTTTCTTATGTGAACTGTTGACACAAAATAGTAAAATTTCATTTCAAAGTGTTGTCAAAATGGAGGATAATAAAAGAGCGAAATAATACTAAATCTTACTATTGCATTAAAAGTGGGACATATGTAAATAATCACAGTAAGAGAAAAAATTTTATGCTGATTTTATGTGCATAATCCAATAAAGAAGAGGTCATATCTTTCAAGTATGCTAGCACAGATTTTGATACAGACAGAACAGAATATTTGTGAATAACCAGAAAATTATTTCCTTTTCAAATGACACAAAGCCTAAGAATATTATGAACAGTGGTGTGTTTATCATCTTATTTTTAATAAGTTCTGAGTTTTGACAAATGAATAATTTATATAGTTTATCATTAAAGTACAAACATTATATATTTACTACCCTACAATAAAATTCTCCCTGCTTCACCTAAGAAATACCTGACAATCACTGTCTCCCTATTTGCTGATTCTAGAATGTCAACTTGAAAAATAAAATATATAGCTTTTAGACTGACTACATTCATAACTCTTTTCTTTGTGGGTTTTGATAACATTCCTTTTCATTGCTGAGTGCTATTCTAAGGTATATATGTATAATAATTTTATTATCTACACATTTATTGAAAGGAAACTTGATTGCTTTCAGATTTTGGTGATTATGAATAAAGCAATTGTAAATAGAGTAAATGTGCAGACATAAGTTTCTAAATCAGTTGGGTAAATACCAGGAATGATTCCTAGATAGCATGGTAAGATTAAGTTTAGCATTTCTAATGCTGTTTATCTAGTTTATATAAGAAAGGCTCAACACTTGATTTATAATAAGTATAGCTGTGTTCATTTGTACAGAAATAACAGCAATTGTTCTATTCTCCTTAGCCACATGACAAAATCAATCATTCCCTATTAAGATCAAGTTTCAACATGTCCATAACTATACTTTCCTTTATAGAGAAAGCATATCATTTTATATAAAGGAAGATCTCTGATTTCTCTTTCCTCATAATAACTCCTGCTCTTGATACTGTGAAAAACTGCAGGGAATCAAACTAATTCAGGGCAAAAACAAGGATTACTCAGGGACCCCAAACTGTTAAGAGGGAAAAAAATACATGTTTCCCTTTCTATGGTTCATGTCATCCATATGCATTAAAGGAAAATAATTAGTCTAGTGTACTCACTAGAGTTTTTGATATGGTGAGAGGTTGAAAGAAAATAGAGAGCAAGAAGAGGAGCAGGGAAGAAAAGGATTTTATAATGCAGACAACAGATAAAACTCTGAAGTCCACTATCTCCAGGTGGACACTTGCCCAGTCAAACAAACAGAGCCCAAAACAGAATGGTGAAGATCCAAAAGTGGGCCATCAGGAGAACAAATCCAAAGAAATTCCCAGAAGGAAACATGAACAACAGATGTCACAGGACCCAAATGAATGAAGTAAAGTTCAAATGTATTGCTCAGGAAGAATCCACCAGAAGATCAAGGTATCAGCCTCCATAATCTCTCAAAACAGAATAAAACAGATCAGCCTGATGGCCAGAGAACTAAAACTGGAAAAGGAGAGGACCGATGCACATGTATCCAGTCCTTTAAATCCAAAATGACTACTCAGCTCTACCCAAAACTCCCAGCAGTCTCCTGTTCAGGAAATCCAGTTAGCAGCATGGGATTTGTAGTCCAAGGTGCCTGAAATGTCAGGGGTGGGAATGAGGTGTAGTCCCGAGCACCACTCACTGCTAAGTTTGTCTCTGCTTTGCAGCCTGCCTGCTAGCACCCTGTCCATATACTGCCTCCTCTAATAGGAGTCAATCTTCTGTTAATAATCTTTGCCTGATTTAGAATCTGTGTCTTCCTATCTTTTATTTTTTGAACTACTAGCTCACTACATTAACTTGTCCAATTTCAAGTCAATTATTCTTAAGCTGCTTTAGTATGAAAATTCTACAAACAAACCAGCAGCAATGGGACAGTGCATGTTGGCCTTCTGTTCACCCACTGCCATCTTGTTTCAGCAGCTCTCTGCAGAGAAATTGAGCTGATACTTAGTACTCCAGAGAAACAGTCACAAGGAGATGTGATTCAGTGCCCTGTTCTTATCAGCAAAGTACGTATGATGCTAAGGGGAGAAGTGACCTTATACTTGCCCATGTGATATAAGTCAGTATATTTCAGGGACCTTTCTTTGTTAGAATGGTGTCAAAGGCCCAGCTGGGAAATGAACAACCACTCCAGCTACATCTGAACAATACACCTTAAGTAGGTGACTGGTTGCTAAAAATAAATATTAATTATGGGCCAGAGTTTTATAACAATATATAAAGTTTCTCCCCCACTTCCCTCTAGGGGAAGATCTAAAAATCATTATGCCAAGAACCAAGAAAACTACAATTGAATTAAAAGAAAACTGACCGAATAGGAAGCTTGATGTATTAGCTATAGGAATTATCTAAAAATGATTTTAGAGTCTCATAAAAATGTTTGAACAAAAAATTACAAACACTCTTGAGGCAAAAGTGAAATAGGAAATCATGGTCCAAAAATAGAAATAGCCTGATTATAGAACTAAAACTGTAATAACCCAAATAAAAATCTCATTGAACATCTCAGTAATTGGAGATGACAAAGTAAGAGATCAATTTGAATACAACACAGTAGTAATTATCCAGTTTGAACAGAAATCAGACGAGTTAAAATACAAGAATTCTCAAAGATTTATGGCACATTAAAAAATTCAAGCACTGAATTAACATTCAAACCACTGGAGTCCAAAAACAAGAGAAAAAGAACATGGGAATGCAAACAAATGTCTGGATGAAAATTTGGCAAAAGGCTTAGACCTATAGATTTAGATGAGAAAACCATAAACATTATAAACTCAAAAGAAATCTCTGCCAAGACATTTTATATTCACATCTGTGAAAATGAGACAAATTAAAATGTTGAATGAGGCTAGGATGAAATGATGCATTATATAGACTAGAATGCCAATTAAGGAGGTAGCAAATTTCTCACATTAACAACGGGGGCTAGAAGTAAGTGGCAAACCATTTTCAAGTGCTGCAAGAAAAGGAGCAAAAGAAAACTCAACTTCAAATTCCATCTCCGGTAAAAATATCTTTTATATACGAAGCTAAAAAACCGCTATTCTCAAGTGGCTGCCAAGAGTGATGGCATCAGAGGAAGTTTCCAGCTTTGGTCTTGTGACATAAACTAATGTAGTCAGGCAGGCACTGGACTCAGGATCCTGTGGCTTTGAGCAAAACCCCGAACACTTCCTGAACCTCAGAGACCAGCACTCCCAGCGTGTGAAGAGATGCTGAGAAAATACAACTTTGGCAATTAAGGGTGAGTGGGGAGAGGCGTCAGCACGGAAGAAATGAGTTCTTGCTAGTACCTGGGAAAGGCAGAACTGCCTATGAATCTAACCTGGGAGATCGTGCAAGATGGGGATAAGTCAGGTGGACAGGGACCCCAGTGAGGAAGATAAAGCCTAGAAAGGCATGGGTCACTCATTTCTCTCCCCCCCCCCCCGCCCTTTCCCTCGGGAGCAGGTAGGTAGGTAAGGAATAGAAACGGTGTAATGTAGCTTTTTGAAAGCACCGGAAGCTGCATAGAAAGCCCAGCACCTCAGAGTGCAAAAACTCAGGGGTCTGAAATCCAGAGAGGATCATAAATCAGCTGGATTTATTGCAACTTCATGTAACCCTTTGTGTTATGTGTTTTTCCCATTTGCAGCTCCTTTTACCCAGGAACATTTTTTAATTAAAAAAAATGGATGTTGAAAAATAAGGACTATACAGTTTGACTTTTTATGATGAGGAGACGTACAAGCCAGTTTCTTTAAACATGTGCACACTAAAAACCCAACTTCCCACCACCCCAGAAGATATCTTTATATCACATTTATCATAACTTTGAAAAGATAGCCAGTATAATATATTCCATTGATAATACTATTGCATGCTTTTGGAATTTATATGAATGAGATCATGAATATATACTATTTGTAAGTGGCTTTGGTTGCTCAGTATCTTTGTTTGCATTTTCGCTCAGTTGAAAGCAGTAATAGTTGTTTTCCCCAGTTTAGGGCTAGATGAGTATTACTCACATTCTCATCAGCGATAGTCTGTCTCCTTGTTCAACATTTACTTTGAATGTGCACTGATATTGTTTCATGGCTTCACTTTGTCTTCTCCGATTAATTAATTATTAATTTTTATAAATAATTAACTCTTCATGTGTTAATTGGCCTTTGGATATTTTGTGAATTACTTTTCTAGACATTTGCCTGCTTTTAAAATGGTTGCCTTAGCATACTTTTTATGATTCTTTTCCATTGTAGTTCGTATTTTCCTGTTCAGCTTAAATGTAATTTGCCTAAAGTCAAGACAACTTTAAGAGTGAAAGGATTTAATATATGTGTAGTCCTTTGAAGCGTGTCTGCCATGTAGTATCATTTAGAAATTTATTATCAGCCTTCTTAAATTTAGCTTCATTTTATAGTTTGAAGAACCAAATTTTGTTTTGTATTTTTAGTTTCTTATGGTGAACTTTCAGTTAAACCAGCATATTTTATTGGAAAGATCACCACATTATTGAGGGCCACCTTTGAGGGTGATCATTACATCACTGAGGGTCACTGCTGCATACGTGGGTTCATTTCTGGATTTTAATCTGTTCCTTTGTATTATTTGCCTGTCCTTTCACCCAAAGCATGCTGTGGCCATAGATTCAGTTTATAAAATTTCATAATCATTAGATAGTTTAACTAGACACACTTTGTCCATTTTTATCAATACAGCTTTGGGTCATCTTAGCTCTTCTTGGTCTATTGCAGTGCCATCTGCTTTTTAGAATTGTCTGATCAGTGCTCCCCTCCAATACACAAATACACAGCATAGTCACTATGACTATGGCTATCTCTGTTACTGACTTCACATAGACACATTTAGTTAGATTTGACATCTTGACTCTTAAATCTTTTTCAATCAAATTTCTAATCACTTCATGTATTCCTAAATGGGCTAAATCTATATAAAAGTATTTCTGCTTATTTTATTATATAGAATTAAATTGAGCCTAACAGCCTGTTAGTATGTTGTATGTGCTTGATTTAGGTTTAATGGAAAGCACAGTACTGATGTTAAGAACTTTAAAAATATAAACACTTCTGGGTAGTATGTTTCCTCAAATTTTTTATTACTTTGTTCCTTTTATTGTTCTTTCTTCTCTCTCTTTTGTTTTGCATCTTATACTTTCCTCAGTCTAAAAGATTTTTCACATAATGAAAAGAATAATGAACTATAAATCAGATAATTTGGAGTGTGAAGCTGGCTATACCTGTACATGATAAGATTTGGAGCCAAACACTTACCATCTACTGATAATAAGAACATAAACCATGATTCAAATCCTAGCTCTCCCATTACAGTTAGAGAAATTTTAGCACATTATTTAACTTTTCTGTTCATTATTCCTTCATCTAAAAATAAGCGTAATTATGATTAATATCTGTAAACTACCTTGAACTGTACTGCCGTACAGTAAACGCAAATGGTTTGTTTTTAATTATAATGCATTTCCCCTTTTACAATGCTATTTTTAAAGGAAATTATTTAATGAAAATTTATAAAAGTAATTTGAAAAAGGCAAAAAGTTTTAATCAAAAGTAAAATTCAGAAATTGTTTTGTTTTCTACAAGATGTTCTTATTTGAGTACAGATTATTTATATGTTCATCTCCATCCAACACTAATGTAATTTTGAAAACTATCAAAATTTTCACTACATATGTAATACACACTCACACACATATAATATATGTGTTATGAAAGGGTTGGGTATATCTTCATAGACCTTACAACTTGTAATCAAATAGCATACTTTTTATATTATTATATTATTTCATTTCTTCCTATGAATAATTTCTTAGTAAAATTCAAATTTTAAGAGCTTTGCCCCCTGGGTTATAGATCAGTGTGTTTGAGAAAGAAGGAGAAATTGGATCAGTTATTTATATCACTAACTTTGTGGTATGGACTTAAAATAAGTTCAGTGGAGGATAAGAAACAATTTCAGCCATGTGATCAAATTTGAAAGTCATAAATTTAAAGTCATAAATTTTAAGTCAAATTGAAAGATATATTTGAGTGACAAGGAATGAAATTTACATCTTGAAAGCCTGATTTTGAAACTCTGGACATAAAATCCAACCTTGGGTGTCTTTAATCCCATATTTAATTAAACCTTGAAGGATAGCAATTTCTAGGCAATTCTAATATAAATAAAATACCAAAGATCTCCATTAACAAATACTGTATAACTAAAAGTAAGTTACGTCTATGTATTATATTAAATTATTTATAATTTATATACAGTTACATAGATATATAAACCAGTCAGTGTTAAAATTGAATAAGCAAAGACTATGCTCATAGAATTTATGAAAGTACATAAATATTAATTTATACTTAATCGTAAGTAAATCTATCAAAGGAATTTCCTTTAATAAACGTTGGTATGCTGATCACTTAATAAATAATTCACTAGAAATCATCCTATACTTAATAGAAATATTTGACCTTCAAAGACTAGACTAATGCTATTCAGCAAAAATATAATGAAATTCAAATACATAATTAAAACTTTTTCTCATAGAAAGTTTTAAGATCCTTAATAGAAACAGATGAAGGTAATATTTATTATCTATTCATTTAAATAATTTTATGTAAACTATCACTTTAACTTGTACTTTATACAGCAATTGATAATAAGATAGTGACTTTTTGTGGTTCTTTTTCCCTAGGGTTTTGAAGTTGAGTGTGTACTTTATATTTACAGCACATCTTAATTCAGAGTGTTCACATTTCACTTACAAGCCACTTCTGACCCATGATTATGGCAGTCGAGCAGCTCTAGACAGGTGTGAGAAAACATAAGTAAGGTCTGTGTAAATTGTGATGGCTTTGTTCTCATCTCTAACAGAGAGTCTAGATCTGATTGTTGGCAGAGCCATTTATAGCCCTTAAAACATATCTGTTAGGTAACACAAAGTTTTCAAGATCTTCCTATATAAGTGTTTATAAAATATATACATGCTGTATTTTATGTCTGTTATTCCTTAGCATATTTTTTAAATTTATATCTTTTACATCATGGTACATACCCACCACCTATTCACTTGTTAGCCATCACCATCTCTCTTTGTGCTCCTCTCCCATTTTGATATCTTTCCTTCCTCACTTCACACAATGTGTCTGATTTATAGTTGCCTGCTAATTTTGTTGTTTTTATAATAATAATAATAATTATTATTATTATTATTATTTCCTGATCCCTTATTTGATTCCCTTGTATTTCTCCTCTAAGTGAAACGATTTGATATTTTTCTTTTTCCTTCTGGCTTATTTCATTAAACATGATCCCTTCTAGCTCCATCCATGTTGTCATGTGTGGCATGCGTTTATCTTTTTTGATTGCTGAATAGTATTCCATTGATCCAGTAAACTATTTTTGGGCATTTGGGTACCCAGCATATTTTTGTAACATTCCAATGTATCAGATAGTCTTTTAATGAGAAAAATAAGAGAGGAAGCCAATGGAACCATTTAATAGTAAGAAGCATGCTTATTTTAAAATTGGAAATGTAAGATATTGATAGTCAAAAGATTGCTTGCAGGAAATCTGGATGATTAGGTCACTCATGAAAACCACCAGCAATTACTGCCCCTACCCACATAAAGTAATGGAGCATCTATCACTTGGAACAGTGTCACTTTTCTTGACTGGGAAAGGAACATTTTAAATTAAGCACTGAATATGAAAGACTATCCTGAAAGGTGACATGTGGTACTCTGGGCAAAGTACATTGGCCAAAGTAAGCCATTCATCCAATTCTAATTCAAGGGGGGTGTTGTTTGTGATTGTAACATGTACAGTTTGTGAACAGTCCTAAAAATTATCATAAGACTTCTTAAAAGCCCATTAAATGAAATTATGGCATTCAATCTTAATGTTTTGATGAAAGTTACATATCTCCAAATTAAAATGATGTGCTTAAATTCTAGAAGGTTAATCAGTATTTTTTTTTTCATACCTCAACACAGCAATGTAAGATAGGAAAAGAAAAAGAACCCTAAATAAAAGAGTTTATTTATAGATCAGTACAATTATAAAGGCAATGCTTTCTTTTAAAAAAATACTGGAACATGCTAGCATATTATATACAAATGAATTCAAAGAGAAGAATTACAATAAGCAATTATGTGCATAGGTTTGGTAAACATGCTGGTAATTTCTAAATTAGATTCATTGGTTAGTTATCAGGCACATTTTTTGCATAAATAA